CATTCAACATTCGGGTGGGGCAATTTAGAAACTTATCCCCAGGTTCTCGGTGCTTCCTGGAGCACCGAGAACCTTCCTACCTCTGCTGGACTTCGCACTCCTCTCCACACTCTTCTTGCTACTTCAATAGACGTCCAGAAGCGGCTTTTGGGGCTAATGGGGCTTGGGCTTCCAACCCGACAGCCCCCACCACTTCTGGACATCTACTGCAGTCACGAGGAGCTGAGGAGAGAGCGGAGAAGAGTGCAAAGTTCAGTGGATGCAGGAATGCAAAAACAATGCTTACTACTCCCTTGCAAGGGGAGTGAAGGAAAGCTTTAGACTCTGGTGGTGGTGCTGGTTTCTCACCACTTTGGCGTCCCTGAAAGGCAATTCCGCATTCTCCCTTTCCTTCGCCCCTCCTCCCTTAAAAAGCTGTGAGGCACTTTCTTAGCGCCAGTTGTCCAGCTGGCATGGCCTCACGCGTGCGCCTCCTCCCCCTCCTCCTCCTCACTCCCCAAAGGCTCTTCTCCTCCTTCCTGGAGCTCAGCAGGAGCCGGGCACAAGGGATGGGAGGCTGCTTTTGAAACCACACCTTGGAAAACTTCGCCGGGAAGGGAGGCAGGGAATCAGTTGGGGGGAGATGCCTGGAATGCCCCCGTGCTTTTCTGGCAACCATGCTTCCTAGGCAAGTTCGGGGGGGGGTGTCCTAGGAGACCGGCCGTGCAAGCTACCTCCCGCCAGCACCGACGGAATGGGTGGGGGAAGCGAGCGAGGGGAGCGAGGCAGGCGCTCCATGAGGAACGGGTTCTAACCAGTTCGATAGATTTGTGGACCCTTTTCTACCAAACCAGTTAGAACCGGCAGGAACCCACCCCTGGTTTGTTTCCAGTATATGATGGTGACTTGGTGTTTTATTATTAACAAAGTCAGATTTGCTTTGTGTGTAGAATATTACTGTATTGTAATATTTGCAAATTGTCACTAGATGGTACTATAATATTGTTTCCATAGCTAAAGCATGAAACGAAAAAGAAGGTCTCCTTAGAAAACAGCCCATTCTTTGTTTAGTCTCTATGATGGGAATTACTTATAGAACGGTATATATCCTGACTGCTTTCCTTAGTACAGTATACCTACATTTTTCTAGTTCCAATAATAGCATAATGGGAGACAGGCAGTGGATAGAACATTATCAGTTCATTTGGTCTGTGCTACCATTATGATGCACAATCACTACAATACTTGAGTTTTACAAGAACTGTTCCCTTTCTTTCTCCATTATAACTTTATATAAGTGATAGCGAACCTATGGCACACGTGCCACACGTGTGGAAAAAAGGCCCTATGGGCAAACTGGAAGTTCAGGAACGGACTTCTGCTTTTCTCGTAGGGCCGGTTTTAGCCCTCCGGAGATTTCAGGGGGCTTCCAGGAGGCCAAAAAACGACCCTACGAACAAACTGGAAGTCACTTCAGGGAATCTCCTGAAGCCTCTGGAGGTCCTCCGTGGGTGTGGAGGAGGCTGTTTTTGCCCTCCTCAGGCTCCTATAAAGCGTCTGGAGCCTGGGGAGAACAAAAAAGCATGCCAAAAATGGGGGGGGGGAGCATTGGTCGTGCACGCATGCACACTGGGGTNTCAAATGACAATGGAGGTATGATGATGGTAATATGTATAAATATAAATAAAATACTTGAGTTAATATGAATTATGGTTGATGACTATGGAAGAGATGCACGAAAGTCTTTTGTAACCAACTGATACACTTTCTACAGTATGTAAACAAGGAAGATTCTTTGTGTTGTGTTTGTTTTGAAAATAAAAAATAAAAAAAATATTAAAAAAAAGAAATATGCTGTGTTGGGAAATTATATAAGGAAGAGAGGGGTGCAATCCTCACCAACTTTATCCATTTGGATTTTGTTTCATTTGAAAGCTGGAACAACAAAACTTTCTGAATGTTGGTTTTATTGAACTGTGTGCCTCCTAGAATCTGATGAACACAATTCTTTGTCCTAGATTTAAAACAAAGCATTTATTTGGTTTAATGTTAAATGTATTCAAAAATAATTTTTGAATACTTCAGACATAGTCTAAATCAGGGGTGTCAAACTCGATTTCATTCAGGGTTGTGTTGGAGCTCAGGGGGTAGGGTGGGTGTAGCCAGGTGGGTATGGCCAGCTCGATGTCACTCATGTCGGGGCCTGTGGTGGCCCGAGTGTTGTATCAGCAAAAATAGCCCCCAAGCTCTGTTTTCAGCTACGATGGCCTCCTGCAACCCTCTGCCAGCAAAAATGGAGCTTGGGAGGACTACGTGGGCCAGTCCTTCGCTGTGTACAGATCGGCCACGTTGACCAGATTTAAGCACTTTGTGGGCCGGATGTGGCCCATGGGCCTTGAGTTTGATACCCCTGGTCTAAATAGAAAATAACTATGTGAAACAATAACTTGATTTGAGCACCATGAAAACAATGCTAAATAAATTAGGAAATTGAGTGGATGGAAGAATTCTTCAGCCCACAAATTCCAAAAATATAAATATCTTTCTCTGTGTAACTAATGTTTATAGCATTTATCAGCATTGAAATATGAGAGAAGATGGCATTCAAAAAGCATAATAAACATGAATAAAGATTGACTCCACAATTTCTCACATGCCCAGTAGCACAAAATTACACAGATATAAACATCTATTATTTCAGGTCTTTTTACTTTTAGATTTTGAAGAGAGGCAGGATTTTTTCAATTAATTCGAATTAGTAATGTTCCCTGCCCCAGAGCACAAGTGATTGTATTACACCATGATTTTATTTAATCCAAAGATTTACATGTTTGTAAGAATTATGAAGAAAAGTCTTCGAAAAAATTATTACACCATGCACATAGAGAAATGGTGAACTTTCTTGGCGTGAATATGTTCAAAATACAAAACCGTATCTACTGGGGATGTTTTATGTGACATTGAGATTCAGTGTTTGGTATTGAATTTTTTTGAAAAAATGGATAATAAATTAACTGTGGAAAGATCCGTTTTATATCGTTTCTTCCACCTAGCAATTCCCAATTGTGTCTTATTCAGTATTCTAACTATAGAGAGAAATTTCTCAGAAACTGAAGATAGCTGCAGCAGGACGTATCGTGTGTAATTTTGGGACATTGAATTCACAAATGTGATGTGTGATACTGAAATGTTTCATAAAACAACAGTGAAAAAAAGGATGTGAAAGAAGTAGCTGCTGGTGCTGGTAGAATATGGCGCTAGTATGGAGAAGACTAATTACAATTAATTATGCCTTAAAGAGGAATGTTGGTTGTCACCTTTAAAGCTCTAGATGTCATTGAGCCAGTTTACTTATGGGACTTCCTATTCCTAGTGATTTCTGCCCTTTCCTCTAGATCTGGCAGAGTGAGCATGCTCAGACTCTCAGTGGTGAAGACTTGTCACCTGGTGGATTCTGGAAATGGGGCCTATCTTGTGGAATAGCTTCCTTCCCATTCTCCCTCCCCAGATTTAGACAACTCTGGTCATATTAGCTTTTCAGAAGATTGAAAATCTGGCTCTTCCCCCTGCAATGGGTCCAGGATATTAATGGGTCTCTGATACATTGATATAATTTTAGATTCTTTGGTTCAATTTCTTTTGTATTGAAATTGTATAGTTTGATTATGTTTTATTTCTGCTTGTATCCCAGAATTACTTGACTAATGGGCATTAAATATATTTGTTAAATAAATAAATTTAGTTAAATAGTGCAGGGAGCAGGAAAATCTTATGAAGCCTTTAGCTATTATCTTCTCAGAAATTTTTCAGGAAACACTGGAAATATTTGAAATATTTTTAAAGTAAGATTTCTCCTGTTAAGATGCTTAGGATTTTTAATATGTAGAAACTATTAAATTTGTTTACTATTTAAAACACTTCTTAAGCAAACATATTTTTTACCAGATTCAAAAAACAATAAAGAAGACAGCCCGACGGGAACAGTTAATGAGAGAAGAAACTGAACAAAAACGCTTAAAGACAGTACTTGAATTGCAGTATATTTTGGACAAGTTGGGTGATGATGAAGTGCGCAGTGACCTAAAACAAGGAACAAATGGGGTATCTATATTAACAGAAACAGAACTATCCACACTTGACGAGTTTTACAAGCTGGTTGAACCTGAACGTGACATGAACATAAGGTATATGATTGAATATGAAGCCAAAATAATTCAGAATTGTAATTGTGATGTAATTATTTTTTTGGCAAAATTAAATTTTTCAGGTAACATTACATTCCTGTTAATTTCTTTTTTTGAAGGTTGAATGAACAATATGAACAGGCATCCATTCATTTGTGGGATCTATTGGAAGGGAAGGAAAAACCTGTATGCGGAACAACATGTAAGTATTTTTATTCTTATGATTTCAAATGATAACATTTAGAATATTTAGGGTGATTCTTTATAATTTGCAGTACCTATGGTTTAATACCAACAAAGGAGACATAGGTAAAGGTAAAGGTTCCCCTTGCACAAATGTGCTAGTTGTTTCCAACTCTAGGGGCGGTGCTCATCTTTGTTTCAAAGATGAAGAGCCAGCGCTGTCCGAAGACATCTTCGTGGTCATGTCGCCAGCATGACTAAATGTCACCTTCCCACCAGAGTGCTTTTTACATGCTTTTAAACTAGGTTGGCAGAAACTGGGACAAGTAACGGGAGCTAACTCTGTTACGCGGCACTAAGGATTGGAACCACTTAACTGCCGACCTTCTGATCAACAAGCTCAGTGTCTTAGCGCGTGCGAAGCAAACCGGTAGTAAAACCCACCTCTGGAATGGGGCACAGTATAAATTTCATATACTGGTTTTACATTTTAACATTTTTTAATTGTATGCCACCCAGAGTTTCTCTGTGATGACTAGAAGATGAACAGCCTGATTAATCTCATATAGGACATTACTAGATTTTTTTAAAAAAATACCTTTTCTATAAAAGAAGACTTCTAATTTGTGGTAAATGCTATATTCATTGCATATTTTATATTTGGACCACTTCTACGATCATTTATCTCAATATGCTCCTTTTAGAGGACTTAAAATCTTTAGTGAAACAGTATATTACCATCTCTACTGTTTGTGGGAAAGGTAGATATGGTGGGGGCCGAGGGCCAAATTATGTTTGGGGGACACGGGTTTGCTGTTTAAGAGCGATTGCACGTTCCGACCCTCATCACCCTTCTTTCACCCCCGGGTGCTCGGGATTACAGGACCCTGGTCTCCGTCTGGTGTCGCTTAACGCCAGGTTCGTGGTACATAAGGCTCCCCTCATTTATGACCTCATACAAGAGGGTAGAGCAGACCTGGTGTGCATTACGGAAACCTGGTTGGGCCATGAGGGGGTGTTCCCCTTAGTGAATTATGCCCACCAGGCTTCCGGGCGTTTCACCAGCTGAGAGCCAGGGCAGGGGTGGGGGGGTGGCAGTGATTATTAGGGAAAGTCTCAGATCTCAGGAGGTCATTGTGCCTCAGATAGGTGGGTGTGAGACTTTTTGTGAAATGGGGCCTTGGAGTCCAGGTGGGCCTTTTTGTTACGTACCTGTCTCCCTGCTACGTTTCATCGGCCCTGCCGGAGCTGCTGAATGTGTTAGCCGGATTGGCGGTTGATTTCCCCAGGCTGATGATCCTGGAGGATTTCAATCTGCCTTCCATTGGCGAGACATCCGAGTCAGCTCGGGAGTTCATGACTTCCATGACGGCTATGGACCTAATTCAGTTAATTCAAGACCCCACCCATAACAGGGGACACACGCTCGACCTGATTTTTGTCCCTGGGCAGTGGATGAATGATCTAGATTTAGGGGATATTTCTATCCAACCCTTGTCATGGTCAGATCATTTCCTCATCAGGCTTGACTTCCATACTGCTACCCTTCACTGCAGGGAGGCGGAACCAACTAGATGGTTCCACCCCAGGCGCCTGATGGACTCTGAAAGGTTTCTGTTGGAGCTTGGGACTTTTCCTGAATCCCTTGCTCACAGCTCGACCAAAGCCCTAGTGGAAGCCTGGG